AATGGATAGTTTCAGTGAGTGGTATACTGGTGAACAATGAGGAAAACGTTACTTTCCCGGTGTTGTCAACATCTTTAATGCTATCAGTAAACTTGAATGTATCATATATAGAATAAAGGGACACTTGTCTTCAGACTGGTTTCAGTATTTCAGCTAACCACTGGGTGATACAATGATAAGAAAAACCTGACAATTCAGAAATCTGGTGAAGGAGTAATTCTGCTTTATGTATTTTCGGCAAAACATAGAGATGAGGAATGGCTAAACCAACAGGTTGGATGAGCGCATGAAAATAAGAAGAAATTATTGCATTATTTTTCTTTTTTTGAAGATACATGGGAGTTGGATCTTGATCTGTTGCTTTTTATTCCTCTCACCTTCAGGTTTATCGAACTTATTTTGACCTGAGAGAATCAACACTGTTTTGCCGACGTTTTCTTGATTATTCGTCAGAACAATACCTCCCTTCTTTATCAGGATGACTTAAGATTGTTATTATTATTAGTGAGCGACTTGAGTTGTTCGATTTAATCCTTCGTCAAAAGATGATTTGAGCTAAATTTTGAATTAGTTAATTAGTGATAGCAGTCAAGCACGGTGGATTTTGAATTCTGGAAATCCTTTGGTGATGCGGAGGCAAAATCGAAAGTTCGACTAATTAGGTTTTCAAATTGCACATAAGCGTGAAGCCCGTTAACTTTTGGTGTGCTGCTGAGGAACTAAGGACCAAATGAAAAGGCTAGTAACAGGATTTCCAAGAGAAATATCGAGGAGTAATTAAATACAAATTTATTAATATTGTTCATAGACGTTTTTATTTTACCACAGTTAATCTGTTTCAATCTGACACATTGAAACTGCTCTTCTGAGACAACAGAGGCACAACTCTCAAATTATCTGTGTTCATCTGTCGACAAGTCATGAAGACGATGGCTTCTCAAAGATACATTCCTACTCACTTTGTCAGTACGTGAGGTAATAGCATCAACGTGGTTTAAAGCATGACGCTTCAGTATCTTCGAATTTTGGTGAATACGGTTTCACTTGAGTGCTGACCAGAAAAATTTCGGATCGTCATTACGAAGATAGCAGTTTTCCCAATAGTTAATCTCGCATTTCACTAGGGCAAAATTAATATAGTAAAGAAGAAATTCATTACGTATCCTAGTCGTCAACGGATCCTTATGTTTTTCCAATACCTTCATAATTCTCATTGTGGCTTCGAAAAACAAGATATTCAGCGAAGAGAACTCTTGTCAACTTTGAATAAACATCTTTATTCGACAACTTCAGTGTTTAAATACCAAGTTATAACGAAAGAAAATTTAGTTAAGTATTTTAAAGATCGTAATTAACATTCAAGTGGTATGAATGACTTGACTTTTTAGCTAATAACGCAGTGTTATAGTACAATTTCCCTCTACTTAATCATTCTGTTAACCATACCTTCTTTTAATAGATATTATGTTAAAAAATGGTTTTACCACCAAGACTATTGGTTGAACTATAATCTACTTGTTGTCGTCTCTCTTAAGCATAGTTTTGTTTTCTTTCGGTAGCGAAAAGTAATAACATCACATTGGATTACAGTTAACAAATTATTTAAAGCAGACTGGTATTCAATTCTTGCTTCTTTCATAGCATTCTTTATTCTTTATTTAAATTACAATCAACAACGCAATAAAGTTCAAGAGTGCTAAAGTGACAAGAAAAAAAGATACCTACAATGGTTTTAAGATTTAACTTCAAAATGTTAGTTTGCATCGAAAATATGTGAATGGTATTTGTTTCAATGAGGATAGAATTACTTTAATTGCTTTTCGTCTTATGATAGTAACAATTTCCGAGTGAACGATGAGAATGATAAAATATTCGAGATAAGGTTCTGCAAAGTAGAAAAAACTTTCGTGAGTGAATGATTGAATTCGAAATATGGACAATATCAATGCATTTCATTTGATCGGTAGCTTTTGAATTATGCATACACAAGTGTATTGCTTGGATAACCTGGATCTACCTGTAATAGGTACTGTTTCGGCATGTCCACATCTAAGGAGTCAATAAACAGGCTGAATATCTTACAACCAAGTTTTACTTTGTTGTTTTTTCTTAGAGTTTTTGCTTCAAACTTTGCAAATATCAAACATTTCCGACATGGGAACGAAGACCACCAGTCAGGTCTCTGAAAGTGATTCATTATAGTGTGACTGAAGATTATGTTTGCCTAGTAACCTTTGGATACAGTGGTGAGACTAAGATTATTCACAATATATTATCGCTATGTTCAATTAATGACATTTTTCTTGGAAGTAGGAGAGTTTTCAAGAATTTTTAGTTTTTCACCGCATTTATTCATCAAAAGTGATATTGCCCTGCACTTTATTTGTCAAATGTTGCGGTTATTTCAAGACTAAAAGAAAGTCTATACTTCAAAGAGAATAAGGTTGCATACTGTTTTGAATTCAAGTGAATGACATCGTTAATAGCTTTTAGGTTGCATTTTATACAAAATATTTCTAAAATGAACTTGCTTTTCTGCTGACCTATCTTTGAGTGGACACTAGTGGAAAGTCAATCTAAACGCATTGAAGTTCAGAACAGCACCTAGTTAACATTGGATAATTGAGTGTTTTTTCAGCACTGAAGATTTTTTTCGAATTTCAAATCTTTGGAACATTAACACAAAGAGCGCAATTTATTGCATTATTATCATTCTCTTCTCCATAATTCAAGGTATTTGTGTAGTGCTAAATTGCAGCGTAACAGTGTGGTTAAAACATTTAAGTTCATAGATCAGCTTTCGGAATTCAAATGATCACTGAAATTCATGGTGGAAAATCAAACTAAATGCCGTTTAATTTGGAAATGAGAAGACAATATATAAAAGTGATTAAACTGATTGAGCAATTAGCTTGTGAATAGTTTTGCGGAGTACAGCAATGCAACAAAGTTTCAGTTTCACCTCGCAAATTTCATACTGCCAGAAAAGGTAGAATGTGAAATAAACTACATTAGAATGGTTATCTACATTTTTGAACATATAGCTGATATCAATAAATGATAATAACTACATTCTAATCAGTAAAAACCGGCAAACTGATAACTGATTCGCTTACTTTCTAGTGCTCATCGCTTGTGACATGCTGCAAGATGGATTTTTTCAAGTGAGTTCGACCATATGAAGAATGTGATAAAACAGTGATGGGTGATCGATGTATATAACAGATTGATAGCAGTAAGAAAACTGTTTCTTCTCTCTTACATTCATTTATTAATGCAGTAACTTCAATAACAGCATGAAAAATAACTGAAGTCTTTCGAAATGTATTGCAAACTGAATTACAAGTCAAAAGCATAGAAGAAACTTTTTCGCGCTTCCTTTTTTGTCTTCAGGCACATTTCGCAAATCATTTTAAATGAGTAGTTCCCTAAATGAAAATACTGATAAGGTTTTCTTCAGTGATAAAGAAATGCATATGAAGAATAATTATAGAAAGCAAACTGAGAACTTCTGATGGGATATTATTTGAAAACAAATTTATTCAAAGATTTAGCTTCAAAGACTATTCTACTATTGAACAACGGTTCCAGTATGAATACTGGAGCAGATGTATTATGGAAAATACTACCAAGATTGATAATCTAATCCCTTTACAACGCCAGTCCTTAAACTGTATTCTTCTTTTAAAAGAGTATTCATCACTCATCCCAAAGTCAACTGACGTATTATATCAAATCCATGTAGTTTCCGATTTTCTTGGTTTTTCGAAGCGGATGATACATGTTCGGGAACTCATCTTTCGAATATTACCGGATACGCTTGGCTAAGAAAAGAAACAGTACGCTACTGATGAAGCCGATCAACTATTGAAAACTGCTTTGTACATCTAAACAAGTCATCACGCAACAGTTAGAGTATTAGCAGACCACAAACTTGAACTTCTACCTCTATTTTTCGATAAAGATTCGATTTTCTAAATAACGTTTTTGGTATACAATCTTAATTTTTCAATCCTTTGAACGCTTGGGCATTCTGAATTCTTATTTCGTTTATGAAACGGTCGTTTTGATCACATAATTCATTTTTTTCCCTGGTCCTGAAATACTGCTGAAAACATTTACTTATTTCAGTGAGTCTCATTCAGTGTTTTGTCGTCAAAATTATCTTAGAATAACACGGGAGAATTTTCTCTCTTATATGGATGGATCTCACCATTTCTTCAGGAATATGCTTTCGATGACGTTACACACCTAATTGGTCAAGGTGGTATTAAACAATAATAAACATTCACAGGACGTATTTAAAAATCCTCTCACAGTTATATTTATTTATTCATATTCATTTAATAGACTAAAATAAAGTTAGGTTTGACTTTAGCAGGAAGAAATTTGGGATTATGAAGGCATGCATTATAAAATTAAAGACTGTTTAAAGGTTATCTTGCCAACCACTTACAACCAACAATAATGACGATTGTAATTTTTACTCTGTATATGAATTGCAGTGAGATATAGTATATAGTGTATCGATAAGGTCTATTATATAGTCGATGGGATATTTATAGACAACGACTGGTCTTTAAACACTTACTACAATCGACTAATTTCAACTTAGTGATTAGTCATTATTATGAAGAAACATTTTAGATACAGTTTACGTAGTCATTAATTATTTATCAAAGAATTTACTATCAATCGACACAGAATACAATGGAATACAAGCGAAAGAATATAAACAAAATTAGATTGCGATGTGTTTCTCATTTATTCTGGAGTGTTATGTATTTCGTTTTTTACAGGGAAATTGGACAAGTAGAAATGTATAATTTATTGTTGTAGTTTAAATCTCTAAAAATTATATCTTTATTAGGAAAACAGAATTCAACCAATCAGATAATGGAATATAGAAATAGTAAAAAGTATGTTTTTTCTGGTAGGTTACTGTTTACTGGATTGGGGAAAAACTTGTGAATATAAGTAAGCATGCCTGACTGATAAATAAAACTACATGTGAAACAAACACGTTAACAAAGCGTCATTGTAGAAATTGTATTCACTCTAATAATATTTGACTTTAAATAGAATGTATTGTTCACGTTTACGATAACGCCTTGATAGCCACATTTTGAATGTATCATTTGGTTTCTTTTAATGCCTACATCTATCTAATTATATATTTATACCTATCCTTGGATATATGCACTTAGTTCAAATTTCAGTAGTTATGCTAGAAAAAAGCATAACACAAGTGTACAATTCAAATTAATTTGTTAGAAGTTGAATTCTAAAAGTGTATGTATCATGAAAGTTGTTTTATCTGCCTTCCTTTTATTTATATTATTCATTCAAACAAACTCTGATTTTATGGTGCATACTGCTGTTCAAGTTAAACATTCACCAAATCAAGAATGGAAAGAACGAACTTCTTCTGCTCGTCTTTTTTCGACAACTCCTACTACTCCAATTATGAAAACAACAATGGCCAATGTAGAAAGTATCAGCAGACATCCTGACAGAATGCTATCAATAAATTTGAATTCAAATTATATAAAAAATTCTGCACGACGAAAGGAATTACATGATCAACCGCAGCTGCCTGTTGTTTATCCACAAACGTTTTGGAATTACCGATCACATGAAAAATTACCAGTTGACAGAAATTATCAACATGATTTATCATATTCATATGCTAATATGAATGCATTTTATAATCTACCATCATGGTATAACTTACGATACAGAAGATATCCTCGTGAAGAACCTTTCTCTGTTTATCAAGAAAATGTACAATTACCATGGAATTACAAACCAAAATGTAGATCATGCGGTCGACCATTACTACAAGATTCGTTTTGTTCAGATGACTTTGGTAAGTGTTTTGTCTAAAATTTTCTATGTGGATTTTCGGCTATAACTTACATTCCGTCGTAGCATATGCTGTTTTTTTAGTTCCCGTTTACCGTATTCTAATGTAGACGACTAGACAAGAGATATCTGGCTGATGAACACGTGTAGTTATAGTGATTATCTAGCAAGCATCTTTCATACATTATTGATGTTATCAAAGAATGGGTCATTTCACCTACATAATACATTGATCACATTCAATTCAGTCAACTGGGAGGTATTTCAAAACAGCTGATGTCACCAGAATTGCAAAAATGGATTGTAGTAGTAGTAGTAGTCTGATGTCCTTTGACGTCCCACTTCAGGTCCAAATCTTAATCAAGATAGTGAAATGATGCATTATCTGACTTTGCAGTTTTATTGAAAACATTTTTTGATATCAAAAGAGCTGTCATTATTTCAACTAATTTACATTAAGAAAGAACAGTCTCATCAAGGCAGGTTTTGTTTCTTCCTAAATAATTCGTTAAGCTTTAGAGAAGTTGAGCAGGCTATTCTAAAATCAACATTATTCATGCAGATACAGACTAGTAAGCAGCTGAAATGTTAACTTGAAAAACAGTGTAAAGAGTTAATGAGATATTTATTTATCCAATTTTATACTTCTTGACAAAGCGTCAAATTCCAACCTGATCTGGATCAGTATAAATAGCAAAGAACCTCATTAAATAATTCTGCAGTACTTTTTTTCATAAGTTGATGCATTTTCCTGATAACTGTCTTTTCTTGGTATACGTTTAGAGTTATCAAACATTAAAAGACTATGCTTTTTGATCTGTGTCAATTAACGCAAAAACAGTAGCATAAAAAGTCAAAAATCGTTTATATCCTTTTAATCATTATAACTAACTGGGATGGTTGTGGTTTGGTAGACTTGTATTGATACTGGCTGGTGACTGAAGGTTAAACGACAATATGAGCCACTCTAGGATTGGAACTAGTCACCTTCAGGTGTCTAGTTTAATCTAGAAAACCGGTAGAATGTGATATTTATTAGCGAAAGTCAAGAAACTTAACATCAAGTTTTCGTGAATGTTGAAGCATCTAGTGGCTTGTGGTAGTGAGTTCATTTTCAGTTGCCCCACTTAAACACAAAATCGGTCTAAGTTGGAGTTGTTTAAACTAGTACAAATGTAATGAAGTAGTGGACACAAAATTATATATCCCTCTAAGCGGGAACGTAGTAATTTAAAGCAGTTTTACAACTTACTAGTTACAAATAGATATCGGAATAAGGATAAGAGTTGATCTGCATACATACACTTTTACTGTAAGTATAAGCAACTTATTTTCCTTATATCAGTTGATGACATTGATTCATCGAATTTCTACTAGTTTTACTGACACTTTTGAGCACTAACTTTCCCTTCACAGGAATGCGATGGAAGTTTTTCATGGCATGCTTTGTGTTCATTCTGAAACACTTAGGTTCATGATACTGAAGCTTTTATGCCAACAAAAATATTTACGGTAATACTCCTTCTTCAGCTATATGGATATATATAACTATGAATCTCTAGTCAAACAGACATCATAATATAGTGGGGTAGAAGCATAATCTAGCAACACCATCATTTGTGTGATAGCGCTTGCATTAACTTTTCGCTGACTGGACCGAACGGATTCGTTTCTATTGGCTTATGGGCTACTGTATGGATGCCTCGATATTGTTTGTCATTTCAGTTTTGATATTAATTATGGATAGTGACTAGCAGTGGAATCTAGAGACGCACCAGTTCCAAATGGGACAAAATGCGTTTCCTGGATTCCACTGTCAGTTATTATCTATCAACGACATTTATGTTTATTGCTTAACCACTAGTAAAAGATTCATAATATTTATACAATCCTTCTGTTCGCTAGAATCAAAAAAACATATGATCAAGTACTAAATTTGGTTACTGGGGTTATTTTTTCAGAATTCATGGTAAAACTATGTACATGTAACGTTTTCTTGTTTCAACACTTTTAAAAATACCATAAATGCCTGATATTTTGAAAGACTAGTATATTTCTACTCTAATAGTATGGGTAGCGCCTTTGAAGTGCACAAAACTGAGAAGAAAAACTTAAGAAGTGGTTGTGTTACAACATTTCACCATATGAATTTTAAAGTTGATCCGGTTAAAGAAAAAAAATAGAAGAAAATTGTAAACTTACTTACTGTATTTTCTGATAATTTACTTAATTTCTAGCATGAAAGTTGAAGGTGCACAATTTACATCCACAAGTGAACAGTTGTTATCGTTATATCGAAATGATTCATATCTAAGATATTGTAATACTCGATTAGGATAATTTTACAAGCACTTATTTTAGACAAATTATTTACATTTATGTGTGAAACATATCCAGTTTTTGGCACATGGAAAAAAGTGAAAGAAAATTTTTCTTTCTATTACTGAATACATTCAGTGAAATAAAAACTTCATTTCGTTTTAACTTAAACCTGTACCGTAATGAATTACACCAACCTAATCAAAAAGTTGAACCAAAAAGATGAATTTCTAAACCACTTCCCGAGGATGTTTTTATTCTTCACGTATGAACATTTGTTTGTAACATTTGTGGTATAGGAATAGAAATATTTGTGTTTGTCTGCAGAGTTATCTTCACATACGTTTTTTAATAATGACTTGACGAACTTCTCCGAATTCACTAGTTAAATAACTTTGCTATTCTTTTATAAAGGTCATTCATCTTCATACATTTTGTTCAATGAATATCTATACGCATATATCAATGAAAGATAAATATACTTCCATAATTTGTTTAACAGAGATTAGCTTAAATCATATATGGTAATATTTTTTGTTTCACCTAAATTCAACGTTGATCAGCGTTTTGTTTCTTTTGTGCGGGAATATTTGTTATGTTCGAATTGCTGAAATGCTCTAGAAGTTTAAATTCTCACAACAAGAATTTTTATCGTCAGTCTAGTTGCTTTCTTAAGTTTCAACCTCCAAGCATTGATATATAGAAGAGATAATTCAGCCAAGAACATTTTCTGTTTCGACGATATCATTTTCTGTAGCTGTACAATCGTATTTATATATATAATGAACATATAACAGTCTATTATAAAACAATGAGGTATAGTTACATCACTAACCAAGTGCTACCAAAAACGGATTCAAAAATGCAAAGTAGTTGTGTAATAATCTAAGACAGTAGAAATATCGTGGAAGGCAAGGAGTTTAACAAATAAAAATTGTTAGTAGATAAGAAACGCAAATATTGAGTGTTCACTCGCTAGATAGATGTAGAAAGGTGAAGAATGAGACAAGGATCATAATGAAGGTGATGATAATGAACTAATAATTATGATGAAATCGAAAAAATAGAAGTGTTAAGACCATGGTAAGATGAGAGATTGAACATACTTCTTGTGCACATAGAGATCAGGCTTGAATTGATTGTCTTAGTTTATCACGCAACTGCTTTACATTCTTGATTCCGGTTTTTTAGCATTAGGTTAATGATGTGATTATACCATATTGTTTTAGACTAGACTGTTATATGTTTATGATATATATAAATACGATTGTACAGCTATAGAAATTAATATCATCGAAAGAGAAAATGTTCTTAGCTGAATTATCTCTTCCATATGACTCAATGGACATGTTTCGTAGTCTTAAGTGGAGCATTGACATATCTTATGAGCGACTTTAGGAGTGTAATAAAGTCAACGAAAGCAGGTTGATTCAATAAGTAGTTTCTTCCTGTAAAGGTGACTAATTGAAATCTGGCAAACGATCATCTTTTTATCATCATAACCGTTTGTATTCGTTTATTCCTTGATCAAAAATGTCTCAACAAATAAACCCCCTTATCCTGACTGATATCACATACAAATCTACTTATGCCAGAACCAAATTTTGATCTTGACTGCAGGTTACACAGATTTTTTTAGGTTCTCTGTTCGCGAGGTTTTCCAATGACTAGTTTTAGAATTTCACACAGTCTTTGTTGAGATAAACTAGCTTCTTTTCATTGTTAATGAGCACCTAAGCTTGAAAAGTAATACAACCATAAAAATATTGATGCGCTGATTTTTGCCAGTATGTTAAACTGTTATATCTTAACTCTCAGTAAAAAAAACATTTTTGTACTGTGAACAAAGTCGTGACGTCAATCAATGCTATTTTTTAAGGTTTCTTGGAATCAGCATAGTTCCAACAATAATCTCTGACCTATTCACATAGATGACTAGTCTTTGATGCGTAGCTTTGCCAGCAGATTGATTATATATTACCACTCTATGGTAGTGATACTGTGTGATAATTGAAGATGAAATGAAAATTTAACCACGGTGGGATTCGTATTAACAATCACTAGGTTTTCGACTCAGTGCTCTACCATTGCGATCTCAGACACTCAAAATGACATTCCATAGTGCTCTACGAAGTCACTTTAATAGTCTCAATTATGAATACAGTATTGAGATCCACTGCATATTTCTTGGAATATAATCGTATTCATAAACGCATATCAACATAAGTCAACCTGAAAAGGATTTAACAATTTATGAATGTATAATAAGCTCTTGTATAATTCAGCTGAAAAGAAGTGAAGCATAGATAGGTATACATATAACACCGTTTTTAGCAACTTGGCATTTGACCGTGAACAAGAGGCGTCTAATACTTTCAATACCTTCATCATGTTGCTCAATCTGATGAACATTAGTGGCTAATTCGCTTACGTTGTCTTTCTTATGTTTTCTACATCACTTGACACAGAAGCGATTAAACAGCCAAACATACTTCTTCCGAATGTTCAAAGGGGTGCTGGTGGTAGCTATTTATTCAGCTTCTTGGGTTTTGCATGATAAGTTTAAACAGAACCCTGAGTATTATTTCTTGTATATAAAAATGTAAAATTAACCCTAAACAGAAGTGCAATGAAATTTCATTACTTTTACCTTACTTGAAAAAAAACAAAAACAGCATTTTGAAG